CTCCCCTCATCTATCCAGCTGGTCATTCCATCATAGAAGGCTCTCAGGTTAGTCAAGCATGATTTCCCCTTGGTGTATCCATGCTGACTACTCTTGAGCACCTTATTGTCCTCCACGTGCCTGGAGACAACGGTCAGTATGAGCCATTCCATCGCTTTTCCGGGGACGAAGGTGAGGCTCACTGGCCTGTAGTTGCCTGGGTCCTCCTTCTTGCCTTTTTTGAAGACTGGCGTGACATTGGTTTTCTTCCAGTCCTCCGGCACCTCCCCTGTTCTCCAGGATCTTTCAAAGATGATGGAGGACAGCTTAGCTATGACATCTGCCAGCTCACGCAGAACTCTGGGGTGCATCCCATCAGGGCCCATGGATGTGTGGGTATCAAGTTTCCCTAGGTGCTCTCTGACCCAATCTTCCTCTACCCAGGGCAAGTCTTCCTCTCTCCAGGCTTTTCCTCTTGTCCCTAGGGCCTGGGACTCTAAAGCACTGCCCTTGGTAAACACTGAAGCAAAGAAGGGATTCAGCAACTCTGCTTTTTCTGTGTTATTCGTAACCAGGGTGCCCACCCCATTCACCAGCAGACCCATCTTTTCCCTGCTCTTCCTTTTGCTGTTAATATATTTGAAGAAGTTTTTCTTGTTATTTTTAACAGCCCTTGCCAGATTGTGTTCCAAACATGCCTTCGCTTTCCTTGTCGCATCTCTGCATTCCCTGGCTACATTCCTGTATTTCTCCCAGGGGGCCTGTCCTTTTTTCCACATTCTGTATACAGCCTTCTTCTGCTTGAACATTGCCACAAGCTCCTTGCTCATCCAAGGAGCTTGTGGCATGCTGAACTCAAACTATTTGCCCACATACTGAATCTCTTTCTTTCACATATCTAGTTTGTCTAATAAATTTTTCAAGATGACCCATTTCTTTATATGCATTTGTTTGTATGCACATTAAGATCAACAGGGCCCCAACACTGCCTATTATTGTATTCGCAGTAACAGCTTGATTCATTTTTCCCCCCCAAAAGGAGGTGGATTTATTGCAGCTCAGGCTGCATGCATAGAAGGAAAAATTAAATGTGCATGCCAAAAAAATGATGCCAAAAATCAGAATCAGATTAGAATCAGAAAAGTAACCTACCCAGCCAAGGCATACGTTTTTCCTTTAGCATCAGGATCCTTAATTGCATTAATAATTGCCTTTGCAACATCAACTACCTGCAAATTGGGAAAATAACCATTAGAAAACAGGAACGTATACACACACCCTTCTTCTAGAAGTGATTTGGGGGGAGAGGTATTTTTTCTCTCACACGTGAGAGAGTGGGTTTAGGATCGTTTTGTTTTTTAGTCAAACTTACATATATCGGTTGCTTCACTGTTTTTTTTCCCAGAGAAATAAGAGGTACACCACCAAACCAGCGCATGTCTGAATAGAGACACATATAACTTTAGAATAAAACTGCTGAATCCTCTGAAAATAACTGACATGCTGCACTGTAGCAAAACAAATTCAGACTTCACCTACATAAATGAGAGAGAGAGAGAGAGAGAGAGAGAGAAAAAAGCAACAACAAACCCAAAACAACCGAAAAAAAACCCAAAACCACTACTACTCCACTTCAGTACCTCTGTTTTCAACTAACATTCATTTTTTTAATTCAAAAAACATCTGACAATTGTGTTTACTGCTTCAGAATGGTTCAGAGATCTCTCAACTTTGTGAGACAGAAACAAATCATCCTCTATGTTATCTAGCAATTGGCTCCTGACACAGCCATTATTGTTGCTTTGTATGAGCCAAGAACAACTCAATTTTTACATTCCAGCACTACCAATGTGAAAATCCCAGTTGAGAGAGAAGATTTCAAATCTTAACTCAGCATAGAACAATCTAAATAAACAGTAATAATACATGAAAATCATCAAATTTAGCCTAAGCAGATTAAGAAACTTAGAATTCAGAAGCCACCATTTCATCATAAAGTAAAAATTTATTATATTTTCATTACCCAGTGTGCAATACAGCTAACAGTATTCCCAATAAAAATACACCTTCCTACTTTTGGAAAAGACAGTAATCGTATCTTGCCCTTTCTCCTCTAGATATAGGTAAATAGGAATATTTCAAGAATACGTACTTGCATAATGATTGAGAAAGCGGTCCTCTCTCCCAAACATCTCAGACGGCTTCAAAATTATAACATCTGGAAATTCTTCCTTCACTGCTTTCTCTCCAACTGCCTGTCATTAAATTCAGATGAACATAAGCAACAGTTGTTAATTAAAACCAATCTGAGTAGGGCAAAACAAGGATGCCCATTTGGAACTTAGCACATCTTGACTACAGTACTCAGTGAAACAATACTGGCAGCAGCACAAAACTATTTCTATTTGACCAATTCGAGCTTTGCAATGTTTTGATAAGAAGTAGGTCTCACAGAAAGCCCACAAAGTCCCATAAGCATGTAGATAATTTCTAAACGAGATTTAGTACAGTTTCAGCAGTGAAGAATTACATGTTTAAAATGACTAAGCTCAAAAAGTGAAGAAAGTACTAGATATTTCTCCAGCCTATCAGTTGCTCCAAGTACCTCTCTGGCATAACTGAAACCAGGGTTTGGAAGAAATCAGAAACCCTGCTGTACTATAACCCTATTATATTATTGGAACACTCCCAAAACAGCTTACGTACAACTTAAAAATCAGAGGCAGCTATCTGCTGTCTAACTAGAGTCATGGCATATAGAGTCATTGCACAGCAATGGACACCGTATTTTAACCCTGCTTTGAAAATTGTGTTCATGCTACAAACTAAAACAACAGAAACCAATGGGCTTAAAAAAATCTGAAACTGGGGCAGCATTCATCTAGTGAGGAAAAAAGTATGAAAAAAGCTATACCAGAAACTAATACCTCCTAATTAAAATTTAAAAAAAGACATATCTTTTCTTTTTTTGTGCTGGAACATATAACAAAGCCACCAAAAAGACCCGTAACTGTGTAACTAATTTGTCACTGCAGCAGTCATTTTAGTCTTAACTAATTACTTACATTTGCTAGGTTAGTCCAATCACTGATGTTAGGACTGATTTCAGAATCCATTCCATCACCAAACTAGTCTCATAGTGACAGTAATTGTAAATGCTGAACATACTCAAGGATACAAGTAAGGAAGGGTGTTAAGGGATAGACAATCAACTTCTTTTCAAAGATGAAGTATTAACCAGGATTTGTAGCTTAGGAAGCATACAGTTTAAACCCACAACACACACAAACTATTTTTAGTTGAGGACGATTCTTTAGTAGAGAAAATTCATATCGAGATTTTTAAAATAATTCCGTACTTACTTTACTTCTGAGGTATTTGGAAGGACTCTTCATGCTCGCATTCAGATGAGATATATGCACAAGTGTTTCCAAACCAGCTTCTCTAGTTACCTGGGCAATACTTCTAGGAATATTTACAAATTCATCTTCAAAACTGAAGTTTCTAAAATAAGACAAATAAAAATTTTAATTTAAAAGCAACACTGGCTGCCAAACAACTAACAAATAGCAACACGCTCATTGTTCAGTTATCACTGGAACATATTTCACAAACCTATTTTGACATCCTTCATTAGTGACCTTCCTTTACTGAGTCTTAATAAAATAAAACAGACAGCAAATCAAATACAACAGAAAGTTGCAGTTAGGGCAATAACATTAACTCTTTTTTTTTCCTCTATTAAGATTAAATCAATCTGAAAAACTCTCTTGCCCATTTATCTGTGACAAACAAATATTCCTGCAAATTGAAAACAGATTTTTGAAGAAGTTCTGCTTTTTTAAATTCTGTGTAAAGCTGTCAATTTTCACAACACTAAAATGTGAGTCGATATCTTCAATTACAGAGGAACTCAAGAATCCTGAGCAGTCCCAGACAGAGGCTACATTTGGACACTGGACAAAAAGACTAAAGAACTCGCAAGTACTAAAACAAATGGAAGATTTTACATAGATGGAGCAATTACAACAGTATCATAGCAGCTGTAAGGGACTTCAAGGAAACTATGCGGAAGATTTCAGTTTATGGCATTCAAGTTGACTAAATTAGGGGATTCAACTGTAATCTTGCTTGGCATCTCATCAAAAATAATACAGCAGCTCAGTCTCCAAGAAACCTGGCACTACAGTCTGGCAACAACTCCCAAATTCAAGACTGAATGGGGCAGGGGGGTGGGAAACAGAGGCAGGGGAAGTAGGCTTGAAAACAGAAGCACAATTGACTTCTCATGTTTCAACATTGTCCTTGTAAGCACCTTGTTACATCTTCTACATCTGCTTTTGAGTAACAGTCATTTTGTTCAAATGCCTGTCTCTGTCCTTACCTACTCTCACAACTCTTCAGATCCCTCTAGTCTAAAAAAAGCCTTAAAAGAAAAGCTAATTTTAGACCCATCAATAGCTAATCTGATCCTGGGAACCATTACTTCTCCTCCACTCACAAAAATAGATTTTAGAAACACACAAGAACAAACATCTCTCCTGTAGCTATGGACTTCTCAACACTGTATACAAAGATGAGACCGTATATTAGTACTAGATGGCAGGCTTTCACTTTTGACTGATTTGCATTTCTCACTTTTTTTTTTATTTTTTTTTATTTTTCCTCTGCTTACACTGTTCGTATATTTTGCCCATAGAATTTTATGGCAGGGTTCAAACACCTCCATGTTAAGGGCATCATTTTTTTGTTTGTTTTTTTTTAAAAAAAACCTTCAATGAATGTTTGTTTTATTGTTGTTGTTGAACTTCGAAAAGCTGAGTTTCACTAACCAAGGAGCCCTCCCTTACATAAACCAGATATTTCACATAAGCCCTGAAATTTGAAGGAAGAAAGTGTACATGAAAAACATATCTGAATGACACATGGAAACTATGTAATTAATGACTGATATCATTCACTTCTACCCTGATAGCAATAGGAGTTTAAAACTTTCTATTTGTATTCTACTAAAGAGCATGGTTGGTTTGTAGCTCATTACCCATATCCCAAAGTCTGAAAAAAGACAAAAACCCCAAACCTTGCCAGATGTACAAAATCAAAGTCAAGATAGATTGTACTTTTTTTTTTTCCCCTTCAGGAATTAAGCTATGCTATAAACTCCAACAGTGGAATAAAGGATTAAATAGTTTAACAGAATAAAAGTGCCTCTACAGTTTGAATGCCAAATCAAAGTGTCTCCCAAAAGTTAAACGACACTTGACTAGACAAGACTAAGTTGAAATGGATGCTCGCCAACAGACATACTAGTTTAGGAAAAAAAAAAAAAAAATAGAATTTCAGACAACAACACCAAGTGCCTGTCCACAAAGTGGGCAACAGAGGCACTAGGCTTATAAACGTAGATTAAACTCTATATTGTTTTCTGTCTGTTACAACAGACAAATTATACATGTATATACACACACACACACACATATACGAATATAGTTTTAATTTATATACACACACATATATGTACTAAATAAAGGCAAATCACAGTCAATGAGTACATACTCTGACAGTTTTCCATTAAGAAAGACTTAAATAAAGCAAACTTACTTGCATGCAAAAAAAAAATGCAGATTATTACAGGTATTTTTAACCTAAAATAAATATTATATTTCATGGATTTAAAAAAGGAACTATTTAGAAGATCAGCAAATTATAAGTACAACAAAACTGTGTAAGATGCTAATAGTATCTACACAAAAAGGAATGACATCATACCCTTAGAAACGCTCCACTGGCTATTCCCATTTATTAACATTTGCCAGAGAATAATAGAAACTTGACTGCAGTTTATTATACTAGCTTGTAATTCATCAGTATGCCAAAGTGAGAGGATGAAAGCCCACTTTTGTAACAACACAAACATAAGCTCAGAGATCTGTAAACCTCTATCACAAATAGGAAACCATGCACCAAACATCAGCAAAGCATACAAAAGCAGTTTAAAGTAATCTAACTCTCTGACAGGGCAAGATATTAGACAATTATGGAAAGCATGTTCTTTCTAAGAGCATATCATAAGAAAAATTCCAGTTAATCATTCAAAGAAATGGAAGCGCTTTTATGCAAAAGATTTTAGTATTGTCTCTGCACAGGAGGTCAATGAGAAATCAGCTTCACTGTGCAATGTAAACATGCTGCAAAAGATTGCTATAATGCCCAACACATGTTGCAAATCTAGCCATAAAAAAAAAAAAAATTACTTTGTTTCCCACTCCTTTCCAACAAGATTAATGACCACATTGCTGTGTTCCACAGCTCTTCGGATAGAGTCTTTATCTTTACAGTCCCACTCCTGTAAAAAAAGAATTGAATGGGAAAGAGGTGAGATCACATGCAAACAGGTATTATCAGAGTTCTTTCAAATTACTACCATTTAGAGGCTAAAAAATAGCTAGAGTTCTGACTTTCAGAATGATTAACAGATTTCTTTGTATAGCAATGGTATTGTGTTTGATCAAATGCCAAAGTGAAACACTTACTAAGAAGAGAAGTTGCCCCAGGTCACCCATCGGCCGCAGATACATGAGGTCATACTGATCACAGCGATAGGGGATGATTACTTGAGAGCCAATGCGACCTAAGTGTTCAGAAAACTTTTCATTTATATCAAATTACTACATAGTTTTAAGGAGATAATCTTCTCAATGTATGTTATTTCCTTTCTTCACTGACATTAAAACACAATAAATGAATATAGGTAATTTGAATATTCACCTGCAATGCTAAAATGCAATGCTCTATGCTAAAAGTAGCACAGAAGTTTCTCAACACATAGTATCATACACATTCTTAAGCAAGGATGTTCCTGAATAGTTGGGTAAAGTGATAGTCAAATAAACTTACAAAGCAAAAGATTTTTTCAATCAATACATATTACAAACATAGTAAAATACCTAAAAATTTCTGCCTTCCAAAAAAGGGAAAGGAAGGAAGGAAAAAGGAGAAAGAATTATTAAAAAACTCTGTAACTTCAATCCTAACGAATTCTGATCAAATTCCATATTGCTGCACACATTTTTGCTGAATATCCGAATATAACTGACAACAGAAGAATCAACTAGGAGATTGACCTCTTCTTAGAATTACATCTCATGAACTCAAAAAAAAAAAAAAAAAAAAAACTAAATGAAAGAGAAGGATTTATCATAATGACTTGAACAACATCCAACAACAACATCCAGTTTCTGCATTTTCCTAAAATAAAACTAGGCAGTTTTCACTACTTTTCACACAGGTATTACACAGAACTGCTCAATTTTTAAGATTAAAAAAAAACCTAGGGCTATTCTGTAACTTGAAGAAATACTAGAGACATTAACGCTTAATCGGTACTCTGTGGATATTACCTAAACGATTGACAACATATCGCCCTAGGAAGCCTGTAGCTCCAAAGACAGTGGCGACAATGCCACTAACAGAGGACCTTCCACTTCTTCCATGAGGGATGAGCGCGTGATGAACTTGGCGATGTTTCTGCAATCCAGGTGGCAATGCAGATAATGCAGAAAGGCCAGAGCCTGAAACACAAAATGGGAGACAGGATGTGTTTTAAGTATCATTATTGTCAATATTACTATAACATCAAAGTAAAGTGAAGGTTACTTTCCCATTATAGACCAATTTTTTTTCCAACCTGCCTCAGTAAAATTGTCCATGCCAAGACTCCTGCCAGATTACCTCAAAGAAACCTGGATATGTCAGAGGGCTTGAAAGCACTGTGGATAAAATTCAAAGACAAAACTAAGTCACAGAAGAAGTAGAATAAGACCACTGGTTCCTAAACAGCAAATAAAGCCTAACTGGCTAGCATTAGCACATGATGTATGAGTTATGGCACAAAGCCTAAGTGAATAAGGACCACCAAAACCATGCTGCCTCCAGGAAGGGCCCGCCTGAGTACAGTACAAGTATGGTCTCCCATACCATATTCCCAGATCTGGCACTTGTGACACAAATACATCAGAATGGCTCTAGGTGCAGCAAGCATAATTCTTAGTCTAAAGACGACATTCTCCACAGTTGGTGGAGACAACAATTCTTCAGGCTGACAGTCCTACAGTGATAACAGTGAAGAGAAGCAAAGAGCCAGACCCACGTGGTATAGAATATTGCCTATTTTCTCAAGAAAGACCAAGCTATGAACAGTTGAAAACCCCAGAAAAAGGAATTGATAGTATTGTGATATAAATTGACAAGATAGCCTGAATAGCGAGTCTGAAGAGAAGAAACTTGCTCCCTTTGCAACTACGTTAGAAAAAAGGAAAAGATAAACTCTTTTTGAGAGAATTGTGAAATTAAATTACTCCACACTCTTACTTTCCAAGGGCAGGTGAAAAAGCAATTAATGGATGAGGTGTAGAGTGCACAAGCATGCTACAGGCATACTGCAGTCGACAAGACCAGACAATAAGAGCTACCTGTATAAAATAAGCTTGAGGATGTAACAGAAGAAACAGTGTCTGGTATTTTAACTATTAACAAATTATGACTGTAAGTTTTTTATGGATAAAGATAAACGAGTTTCACTTCCCCTCATCAATGTAACTGACAAGAATCATAGTGAAAACATGAGTAGTATTTGATATCAGAATGATGGATGTTTAATGGGATTACAAAAAAAAAATTCTACTTGAGCAATGAGCAAGTTAATATGATTTTGGTGCTGTAAGAAGGAATATCTGTGGCCAAAAGTTTGTCTAGCCTCCTCTCTCCTTCCCCCAAGGACACCCAACTAAGAAAAGGCAGGCATGACAGATACACATTTAGACTTTTATCAAATTAATCTAATAGGCTTGAAAATTACATTTTGTTCTGTTTCTGTTGGCCACCTGGCATGAGATATTACCTACACAAACATCAGGTAGGCATATGAGTGACTAAAATGCAACTCTCCTATGAAAAGGAACCAAGCTTAAAATGAGATTAGGTATGGTGTCTATTTCAAACCGACAATCCACAAAGATGATTACAGGACTGGAGCAGCCCTCATATGAGGAAAGGCTGAGAGAGGTAGATCTGCTTAATCTGGAGAAGACTTTGGAGGAGGGGCAGTTAGGGTAAAGATCTGGTTTATCAATGTATACAAATATCTTAATGGTGTAAAGAGGTCCAGACTCTTTTTGTTCAGTGATGACCAACAACACAATGAGAAGCAATAGGCACAAGCAGAAATGCAGGAAATTTCACTTGAACACAGAAAATACTTTTCTTGAACACAGAAAATACTGTGAGGGTGACTGAGGCTGTGTTGGTATCCATTCTTGGAGATACTGAGTAGCAGTGGGGTTGGACGAAATGATCTTCAGAGGTCCCTTCCAATCTCAACTACTCCATAATTCTGTAAAGTTAACATTATGGCAGACAGTTGGGTCATTCTTATGGTGCTTAAATAACCATGTTTTTACTATTTATTTTTGTTTTCAGACAGACACAATCACTCAAAATTGTTTGGTTCTTTATAATTAGCAGGATTCCTTCACATGCACAAAATTTCTGCTTTGTACCGTGTTTGAGATGGTAGAGATAAAGACAAATCTGGGTGATCCACAGTACTTTTCAGTAATTTGTTCACATACATTTCTCTTTCCCAAGACTTGAAGAAAATGGATATTTAAAGAATATGACTGTGAGTATATTATGAAATTCAGTATTAAATAAATGAACACATCTTGCAAGAAAAAGAAAGTTAACGGAAAAAATAAATCTATACCTAATTGTTTTAAGATTTTATACTATTTCTATAAAAAAAAAATTGATGGCAGACTCCGTTGCTATTTCTGTCACACTGAATAATATTCAATGTCTTTTTTTTGTTTACCTATGTGTCCATACACCCACTGTTATTTGCCTTACACTGCAAGTTCTTTAGTGGTGTCCCTTTTTTTTTGCTTCATAACTGTATAGGAGCTCCACAATTTAAATCTGACTAAATGCTCAACTACCACTGCAATATGAATAACAAAAACATGAAGCAATGGATAACTGAAAAGCTCAGCTGATTTGCTTTATAGTTTTAAGGGTATGGAATCTCCAACAAAACCAAGCTACAAAATTCTGTCTCCATATTCACATCCAGGAAGCGCCCATCTTTACAGAACCCTGCCAAAATATAAGGCTTAGCAAACAGAAATAACATAGATTAGAGGGGCTTAGTTAGTGTTTCCAGGCAGAACATGCTGCTTAAAGCTTTTTGCCCTATAACTACGTGTAAACGGACTTCTGCCCCAGAACAACAGGATTCTTCCTCATTGACTAGAGTCTATTATTACTATTATCATTATTACTGGATATTTAATGTACAACCCTTATTGGATATTGGTTAGGAGTCTGAGCACGCCTATAGACCTAAAACAAACAGTCAAGGTTACCTACAAAATCATAAAAATAATCCAAACCTTTAGTCTGCAGGACAACATCTCACACACAGAGACTTTAACAGTCTCAGTGAAATATTGTTATTATTATGCACATAAGCTTGTAGCTCAAGCAAATTCCACAGCTCACTGTGGGCTATAAACTGCAGTTGCCCAAAGAGGAATTAAACAAAAAACAGTGCATCACTTCCACCAGCTGCTGTCTAGATGCAGCCATAGGAGCTCAGCTCTACCCCAAGGATAGTGCAGCGAGATGAAGGCAGCTCACAGGTATAGGCTGGCACAGCACCACACAACCTAGCACACCCTACTCCCTCTCAAAGCAAGGTATAACGCACAGCGGTAACCGGCACAGAACTACCGTATACTCTCACCTGTATGAGTGAGGGTGACAGGAGGGGACAGGACCCAGGGTTAGAAGCAGCCCTTAACAGCCTGTCCCGTCCTATCTCAGGCCGCCGAGGCGGAGAGCGCAAGAGCACCCTGGATGCCAGTATTCCTCCAAGCAGCAATACTCCTCCATCGCGACTAAAGATAGGAAGCGACAACTCTCGAGCCGCCTTCCACAGCAGTGACACTCACCTGCCCTTGACAACCATGGACCGCGAAGAAACCCCAGACAACACGCAAGGGCCGCCATCTTGCCTTACCCACAAACCTTCGCCCTGGACGGATAGCATACAGGGCCAAACCTGCTCACGAGCACATGCGCAGGAACCGTGGGTATGGCAGGAGAGGTTGGCGGGGAGAAGACACCGTTAGGAGAGCCGCGCAGCCGCAGTGCGCAGCTTCACTGCGCGTAGCAAAGCTGCTGCCGTGCGCAACGTGC